ACCTGAGAGGACTCCCCATTGCCTGCGTAGTTGAGTCCAAATTTATCATCTAGTGGACAAGCCTAAGTTCAAATCCAGGCTCTCCCCTGATTGTTGGTATAGCTTTTGAGTAGTAATTTTTCTCTCTTGTGTTTCATTTTCCCTAAAATGAGCACAACACTTTTCCTGAAGATTATTAGGAAAGGAAAACACTACCTTAGTCGAGGTAGCTGTCCATGAGAAGGATTGTACAACACAGTATGAAGAACCCAGGTGTTGGCACCAGACAGGCCTGGGAGCAAATCCTGAGTCTACACATATATCTGTGTGACCTTGAGCAAGGTACCTTGAACCTCTTTTGCAAAATCAAATTAATGCCTTATGTAACTATTAAGTATAGAAATAATAGCAGAGACAGAATATAAATGACATTATGACATATAATATACAATAATATAGAGCACTTACAGGCATTCAATAAATAGAAGCAGATGTTATTTATTAACTGATAATATGCTAGACCATTCACCTAGCTTTCCTGTATTATCTCTCTACTTTTTAAAAAAATAATATATTTTTTAAAATATTTTTATCGATTTCAGAGAGGAAGGGAGAGGGGGAGAGAGAAAGTCAATGATGAGAGAGAATCACTGATTGGCTGCCTCTTGCACACCCCCTACTGGGGGTCAAGTCCAGCACCCAGGCATGTGCCCTGACTGGGAATCGAATCTTGACCTGGTTCATAGGTCGACGCTCAACCACTGAGCCACCTTGGCTGGACACAACTCTGAGCCTTGGTTCCGACTGTTCTCACAGCCTGGAATTCCCTTCCTCTCATTTTTTTGAGATCTACCAGTCTAGACCTTTCTTATGTATATTTCTCTGTGACTTCCTCTAGCAACCAACTCTCTCTCTCTTCAGTCAGAATCAATCACTTTTTTTTTTTAAATCCTCACCTGTGAATATTTTTTCCATTGATTTTTAGAGAGAGTGGGAAGGAAGGAGGAAGGGAAAGAGACAGAGAAACATCAATTCGAGAGAGACACATCAATTAGTTGCCTCCCACACGCCCCCCAACAGGGGCCGGGGATTGAACCTGCAACCCAGGTACGTGCCATTGACTGGGAATCAAACCGGAGACTCTGGTTCTCAGGCCGATGCTCTAACCACTGAGAACCCGGACTAGGGCAGAATCAATCTTTTCTTTTTTAAAATATATTTTTATTGATTTCAGTGAGGAAGGGAGAGGGAGAGAGAGAGAGAGATAGAAACATCAATGATGAGAGAGAATCATTGATCGGCTGCCTTCTGCACACCCCACCCTGGGGATCAAACCTGCAACCTGGGCATGTGCCCTGACTGGGAATGGAACTGTGACCTCCTGGTTCATAGGTCGATGCTCAGCCACTGAGCTACGTCAGCCGGACGAATCAATCATTTCTTAATCTGTTTTTCCATCTCCCTTTATAGCATCCTCACATTGTATTAGTTACTTGTCTGTCTTCCCAGCTAAACAGAGACACGTCTTACCACTTTTTGTGTCCCCAGCTTCTGGCACAGTACTGGCCTGTAGTAAGGCCCTCAATACATTGAGTAGAAAAGTAAACTGAAGAGAAAGAAGTTTGGCAGAGTCTGAGCCAGATCAGGAAAGGCCTTAGAGGGGAAGGAGTTAAAACGGCCCTGAGGTGGATGCGCCATGGGAGATGTTTAAGCTGGGGTGTAACATGATCTTGTAGATGCTTCCAGTGTCAAGTGCTCTTGGCAATAGCAGGAGGGGCATGAGGTGCCCTGTTTCCAGCCTGATGTGTGAGGTGAGGAGCCTGACTGCCCATACCAACCTGCCCTCCTCTGAACACCAGCTGCTCCTGATGCCCGTCCCTTCGTTCTCACTGGCTTGTCCACTACTTGACTTCCACTTCCACTGAGCATGGGTTTGTCTCGTCTCCCTGATAAGAGGCTCAGCCGCCTACTTTGGTGTGCACAGTGTTCCCCCCCCACTGCGTGGCCCCTCTTCCCTAACATACATGAAGCATGTAGTAGGTATTTCAGTACGTGCTTGTTCAGTTGAAATTGAATAGGACTCTGGGGATAAAAAATTTAGCACAACTAAAATAAAGAGGTACAGCTAATCCCTAGAGTGAATCATCCACATGTGGTCCAGGGGGAACGAGGGGGGCATCTACATAGTTCAGATGTATGGATTGTTGACCAATATATTATCTCAGAAATCTCCCACTCTTAGGTTGTGTGGTCAAGAATCGAGATGGAATGAGAGCCAAAAACTAACCAGCTTCACAACCATTCAAACTGCGCTGCGCTAAGAGTCACCGAGAGGATTAGTGGTTAGAGCATTCCTGAATAGCGCCTGTTAGAATAGTTCCTCCTGGCTGAGGGGCCATTGGTCCCTCTCCAGCAAATGTTTTAGTCTTTTCTAGTTCTCCAGTATCAAGCCCTGGCCTCGGCACCGAGCTTGGACACGAGACCAACCCAGAACCAATTCGTAGCACATGCTAGAACATTCTGGTGTAAAACCGTCCTCTTTGAGCCAGTGGTACGTTCTTTCGAGCATGATGATATGAGCTAGGAAAGGCAGAATTGCTAAGAGCATGAACTTCTTCTTCAACTCTCAGAGCCAAGCTTACCGTGCCAGGAAAAAGGAAGTGGGACGGCCACCATGAATTGTTTCTGTTGGCAGAAAAGCAAGGAAGTGGAACGGCTTCCTCCGTAGGCACACACTTAGCAGTCAGGGTCCCTGTGCGCACCCTGGGAGTGGCAGCTGGTGTGGCTTTGTGTGTGTGTGAGTGTGTGTGTGTGTGTGTGTGTGTGTGTGAGTGTGCGTGTGTGTGTGTGTGTGTGTGTTCGCGGCCCTTTAGCCGATGGCAGGCCTCGCAGAGCTGGATGCTGGAAATGTTAAGTGTAGTTTGATGAGTTTCCACAGACGTACATCTACCCATGTAATCATCGCTCCAAACGACATAGAGAACATTCCTGTCGCCTCAGAATCACACCTCTCAGCTTCCTTTACAATTAGCTCCCGCCCAAGCCAACCCAGGCCACCTCTGAGTAGATTTCTCCCACCGTGGATTCCTGTTCTAGAACGTCATATCGACGGAATCATACAGTCTATCCTCCTGTGTCTGTGCTAGTCAGTTTCCCCCAGCAGTTTATCGTTTCTCTGCCCCACTGCCAGTTCCCACCACCCTGCGGTCCCTCCTCCTCCCCACACACTCTGCCTTTCTTAATTTCCCCACGTGTCAATTGGCTATTTCACCAACTCAGGAAGGTATTCACCAGCCCGGTTACTGCATTAACTTGATCTTCCTCTCTCTTCAGATATTTCTAAATAAAAATGGTTTGGAACATAAAAGGGGCAGCAAATTAAATGCCATTTCCCCCCATTTATGGTTCTGGAGGAGGCCTAATGGCTCTAGGTTCTTCCCTGGTTGCCACATGGGGCCTCATTGACATAATAGGGTTTGCAAGGGAAGTATCTGGGAGACCCAGGCTATGCTCTCCCTCCCCCCCATCCATTAAGTCGGGACTGAGGTTTCCGCTGTAAATCCTGAATGCATTAGTGGCAACTGAGTTGAGGGTCAAATGTCAAATACTCTGCTGTGATGGGAGAGGACATCTGTGGCTAATTAGCCCACTAATTGGCAAACTGGGAATGGGGCAGTGAAGGATTCGCCCTCAGTTCTGCACCAATGGGAAGCCAGCTCCCTGTCCCGGCTGCAGCTCCCTCAAGGGGGATGAAAGACGAGGAGAAGGAATGTTTGCAGTGGGGGCAAAGCACCCCCCCATCTCCCCCCCCCCCCCCCCCCCCGTTATCATAAGGCAGGACACAGCTTTAAGAACCGGCCCTGCTCTAATCAGGAGAGTAAAGTGAGACAGTGGCCAGCTATCTCTACCTCTTCTGCTCACTGTAAATTGAATCCTTTACTTTGGAGATGAGTTATATTCCTGCCCAGTTCTTTTCCTGCCCTAGCTGATTTCTCTCTCTCTCTCTCTCTCTCTCTCTCTCTCTCTCTCTCTTTTTCTTTGAGAGAGGAGAAAAAGAGAGAGTGAGTGTGTGTGTGTGTGTGTGTGGGCGGTGGGGGGTGGAGACATTTTCCACTTATTTATGCATTCATTGGTTGATTCCTGTATGTGCCCTGACTGGGGATTGAACCCAAAACCTTGGCATATCGGGAAAATGCTCTAAACTACTGAGCTACCTGGCCAGGGCCTAAGCTGATTTCTTGAGTGACCCACAATTTGTATGAAGGTGTTCAAAGGCCTCAATATTCACATAGGTTGGGTGACATTTATTCATTGATCCGTTATTGCATTTGACAAATATTTATATAGTACCTGCTATATGCACATCCTGGGACCAAGTACTACAGAGCCCCTAAAGATCAGTTAGATGATATTTGCTTACAAAGATCAATACTACGGTCTTGCCTAGGTTATAGTCTAGCAGACGTATGAGGTTTATAAGCATTAACTACAAATGAGGGAGGCTGTGAGATGGCCAAAAGATGGACACACCAGGAACTCTAACATGGGAAAGAACATTTATGGTCTAGAGCAGGGGTGGGCAAACTTTTTGACTCGAGGGCCACAATGGGTTCTTAAACTGGACCGGAGGGCCGGAACAAAAGCATGGATGGAGTGTTTGTGTGAACTAATATAAATTCAAAGTAAACATCATTACATAAAAGGGTACGGTCTTTTTTTTTTTTTAGTTTTATTCATTTCAAACGGGCCGGATCCGGCCCGCGGGCTGTAGTTTGCCCACGGCTGGTCTAGAATCATGGAAAGATTTATGGAAGAGGTGCCTTTTGAGCTGGACCCTATCAGGTGGGGAAAATTTCAGTAGATGGAGATGAGGTTGGGAAGAGAAGAGCAGAAATAAAGACAAGGAGGGAATCCTTGGACATGTTTTTTTGGTGAGATGGTGGCATCCACATTGTAGCATATTGTCTGTCTGAGGCAGGAGTCCTCCGAGCTGCGGACCTCACTTTTCCTTTGCTTTGCAGATCAATGAGTTGAGCAATGTCCCTGTTCCTGTCATGCTGATGCCAGATGACTTCAAGGCGTACAGCAAGATCAAGGTGGATAATCATCTCTTCAATAAGTAAGTTGCCTGTTGAGTGGACTCAAGTTTTGTGGGCAATCCTTTCCCTTAAAGCAAAGAACTTCTGAAACCTTGTGTATGGCAGGGCAAGCTAGCACCTGGCAGGGTGTAATAGCGACACCTGGATGACAGAGCTGAAAAACTGGCTGGAAAAATGGATTCATTATGGACCTCTCTCCCAGTTGTCTTGTCATCTCATCCTTTATCAGCTACCTCCAGTATCCCTCAGGGCATGTGGCTCTGCCCAGCGTGATTCATCCAGGGCCAGTTTGAGAAGTGAGCTGCTCAGGAGCTGAGGTATCTCGTATGAGGCTGACAGTAGTGGCCCTATCTTGATCTTAGTCTGAGGCAAGAAGCTGCCTGCCACGATTCTGGCCTGGGATGCACCCAAGCTCTTTTCTCTCCAACTGTGTGTGATCAACAGGCTGAGCATGGTGCCCGAGGGCGCTATCCAAAGTAATTCTTCCCATTTTTGTTCCTTGTGGCTTCTTGGATTAACATTAGGGCCTGAAAGTTGTCTCAGGCTTTGTTGAAGCAGCCATCTCACCTGGCACAGATTGGGGTCTTCTCTAAGCCAGTGGTCGGCAAACTGCGGCTCACGAGCCACATGCGGCTCTTTGGCCCCTTGAGTGTGGCTCTTCCTAAGCCTTAGGAGTACCCTAGTTAAGTTAATAACAGTGTACCTACCTATATAGTTTAAGTTTAAAAAATGTGGCTCTCAAAAGACATTTCAGTCGTTGTACTGTTGATATTTGGCTCTGTTGACTAATGAGTTTGCCAACCACTGCTCTAAGCCCTTTGGAGACCTTGCTTTTTATCCTACTACTAGAGGTCTGGTGCATGAAATTCATACACTAGTAGGGTCCCTAGGCCTGGCCAGCTATCAGGGGCCTTCCTTCATTCCGCACTGCCCCCTGGTGGTCAGCACATGTCATAGCAAGCAATCGAATTCCTGGTCTCTGGGTCAAACTCCTGAGGGGACAATTTGCGTATTGGGCTTTTATTTATATAGATGGGTCATCTCAGAAACTGTTTTCTGCTCACACTCTCTTCCTTTCTGCATTTGAATCCTGGTTTCACTCTCCATTGTTCCACAGTCCTCACCACCTCACCAGCGGGGCTCTGTCACCCCACCAGCCTCAGACTGTTAGCTGGGAGGAGAGGCTTGATTTGAAAATGTCCCTTAGTGACCTCTTTCTGCCGTAGTAATAACATCATCTTATTCTAGAAGCTGGGGGCATACAGGAGGCAGCCGATGGATGTTGATGTTTTTCTCTCATCAATGTTTCTGTCTCTCTCTTGCTCTCCCTTCCTCTCTCTCAAAAAAACAACAACAACACGATAAAAATATATTTTAAAAATAAATAAATAAATAAAATCACATGCACAAAATCACCTAGAGTTTTTGTTAAAAATGAAGCTTTCTGGCCCTGGCCGTTGTGGCTCAGTTAGTTGCAGCATTGTCCTGTACACCGAAAGGTCAGGGCACATAACTAGGTTTTGGGTTTGATTCCCAGTTGGGGTGCAAACAGGAGGTAACCGATCAAGGTTTCTCTCACTTCGATGTTTCTCTCTCGCTCCCCCTTTCCCTTTATCTTTAAAATTAGTGAGGACATATCCTTGGCTGAGGATTAAATGTTTAAATTTTTAAAAATGCCCTACCTGGTTTGGCTCAGTGGATAGAACATCGGCCTGCAGACTGAAGGGTCCCAGGTTTGATTCCAGTCAAGGGCACATGCCTGGGTTGCAGGCTCAATCCCAATGGGGGGCGTGCAGGAGGCCGCTGATCAATGATTCTCTATCATTATTGATGTTTCTATCTCTCCCTCTCCCTGTCTGAAATTAATAAAAAATATATATATATTTTTTTTAAATATATTTTATTGATTTTTTTACAGAGAGGAAGGGAGAGGGATAGAGAGTCAGAAACATCGATGAGAGAGAAACACCGATCAGCTGCTTCCTGCACACCTCCCACTGGGGATGTGCCCGCAACCAAGGTACATGCCCTTGACCGGAATCGAACCCGGGACCCTTCAGTCCACAGGCCAACGCTCTATCCACTAAGCCAAACCGGTCAGGGCAAAAAAATATATTTTAAAAAATAAATTTTAAAAAAAGAAGCTTTCCAGGCTCACCTCCTGAATTTATGGAGGCTAGACTTACATTTTAAGCACTACAGATGGTTCAGATCCCGGTGATCCATGGACCACACGCTGAGAGTTCTGATGTGAGAATTAAGATAAGCAAGATGTTCACAAAGACCTGCCTCTGCTTTTCCCCAGGGAGAACCTCCCCAGCCGCTTCAAGTTTAAGGAGTACTGCCCCATGGTGTTTCGAAATCTTCGGGAAAGATTTGGGATTGACGATCAGGATTACCAGGTACAGGTGTCTTCGCAAAATCGGAAGGATTATCGAGCGGAGTGGGGCCAGGAAGCCACAGGACAAGTCGAACAAAAGTGTCTACTGTTCGTGGGCTGTGCCTCCGGTCATGCCTCGCTCCAGCCCAGGCTGTCTTCTTTCCGTGCTGGTGGCTCTTGGAGGGGGAGGGCCTTCGAAGTGCTTCCTGTGATACCTCACAGGCTAGGACCCTCTTCTTGCCTCTTAAAGCACATAAGACAGATTAGAAAAGGGGGACTTTACGGGCAGTGTGATCTCTTGCCAGGTCGGACTGCCCCCTCCTAAACTTGCCCCCTGTCCTGATGTTGGGAGGGGGCAGGGCATGGCAGGAAACTGCCCCCTTCAGGGGGTGGTCGTGTCACGGAGGACTTGGTCCTGTTGGGAGGAATGAATCCCGATACCAGGGACATCTGAGTGTAACTTACAGTCTGTGGCTTCTGTCACTTCCCCACCTAGCACCTTCCTGGACCTTCCTCCCTCGGTAGACAGCCTTTGGTGGAGAATCTTCCCCTTCACTTTTGTAGCAGGAAGACATTCAGCTGACTGTCCATTGTCTGGGGGAAAAGGAGTGTACAGCCTAGGGAAATCTAAAATGGATGCCCCAGTCTTTTAAAACACTAAGTCCTCCACTCCATGCCCATCCCACCTTCCCCAGCGTAGTTCAGGACAAGCAGATGCGTGAGCCTCCCTCCCCTCTCTCCTCCACGCTGCAAGGCCTCCTGCAAAGATGTGTGTCCTGAAGGGGAGGGTGAGAGGATGTGAGAGGAGGAGATGCCAGGGGCTTGGGCGAGCAGGAAGGTCTAAGAGGTACTGGGAGGTCCCTCCAGCCCCCTCGGTTAGGAGCAAATCTGAAAGGAAATCATGACCGATTGGAGCCTGAGACTTTCTGAAAACTTCTTGCCATAGTTGCAACCCAGGTCACCTGCTCAGACCACTTCCGTCCACTGTGGCTCCTTCCCCTCCCCTTGGCCATCTAACCACATCCTCTCCGTGTCTGCATTTTTTCTCTAATAGCCTCGTGGGCAAATGATTGTGCTCACAAGTGAAATAGGGCAGGGAGGATGGTGTTCAATGAGGGACTCTGTCCTCTGGGACTGCCAATGGTTTAGAGTCAGAAATGCTGCCTGAGAAAGAGGCAGGGATGCAGCTAGTCTTCCCACCGGGCTTGAGGCCTCTCCATCTTCCTGGTGGAGGACCAGGCTGGGAGAGCGAGGCCCTCAGTCACGTAGGGCTGGGGACACCCTGTTTTGGGGCGTGCTCCTCTAGTTTAGAGAGCCCCTCACCACTTCAGACTTTAGTGGTTCTCCCTTCTCATGAGGAGGCTTGAGGTGAAGGTATAGAGTTGGGTCCCAGGTAAGAGACGAGAAAAGGCTGAGAGAGGAGGCGTTTCTGTGAGCAGATCTGTGTTTTCCTGGCATTTCCCCCCCTGCCTTGCCTCCCAAAGGTCTTTCCCAGTGTCTGCTTGGTGAACACATCCCCTTGGGTTGCCTCACCTTCCCCGACTCCTCTTGAGGCTCCCACAGCTCTCTGATCCTAATGGGATGGGGCCTCGAGGAGGAGCAGGACAGACCAGAAACGCCCCGCCCTGCGCAGATAAGCAGGAGTGTGAGGCGAAGGGAGAGGTGTTGGGCAGAGAGGTGGGACCAGCGCCCTGCGTAGGGAAGGGTTTCCTAGTTGCAGGGCACACACAGGGAAGAGAGACCACTGCCTATCGTTCATTTATGCGAGGCCTCTCCAATATTTCCCGAGCTTTGTTTTTGTCATCCTAAGAGACCGGGAAAATCCCTTCGCTCTGCCTCCTGGTGTTCCAGGTGAGGAAATGCAGGCGTAGAGAAGTTACGTGGGTCACATCACATGCAAGTGGCAAGATTAGAACCCAGGTCCCTACCGTCGGGGGTAGCTGTCTGGGATCAGAAAGAAAGGAAGTATTTCACAGTAAATCCTCTTCCCGTCCCAGTCAAAGATGGGGACCAGCTCTCGTCACTCTTGAGGAAGACTTTTGGGAGAGATGTGACCTTCCCATGAGTAAAAGGGCGAGTAAGGTCCCATCTGTCTCCGTGTCATTGGCCTCAGAGCAACGGCCCATAACAGGAGACTCAGTCAGAGTCCTGCTCCCCTCCCAAGACCAGCTCGCTTTTCTCTCGGTCCCTCAGAACTCAGTGACGCGCAGCGCCCCCATCAACAGTGACAGCCAGGGCCGGTGTGGCACGCGCTTCCTCACCACCTATGACCGGCGCTTCGTCATCAAGACCGTTTCCAGTGAGGATGTGGCAGAGATGCACAACATCTTAAAGAAGTACCACCAGGTATGGTGAGTCCCGAGCCTGGACCGCAGGGTGGGTTGGGAGAGGGAGCGAGCCCTGGGGAGCTTCTTGGAGAGACGGGTCCCCTGGTGATGGAGCTGCTTCCTGACAGCCAGGCACGTGGCCCTCCTGGACCCGTGTCTGTGAGGAGAAGTTTAAAGGGAAGGACAAAGGCATGTTCCTGACTCTGTCCCAGCTGAACAGCTGCTTCTTTTTTTGTTTGTTTGTTTTCTTTATTGATTAAGGTATTACGTATGTGTCCTCATCCCTCTTTTGCCCCCCCACCCCACCCCCCGCTCATGCCCTCACCCCCCTGGTGTCTGTGTCCATTGGTTATGCTTATATGCATGCATTCAAGTCCTTTGGTCGATCTCTGCTGCTTCTTGCCAGAGTTGGGAAGTTTTCACACTCATTTCTTCTGAAAGAGGTCCCGTCGGCCCAGCAGGGTTGCTTTTCTTCCCATTCCTCCTCCCCACTCCTCTGGAGCCGGTCCCTGAGAGAAGCGGGCAGTGCGGCGGCATGATCTGAGTGCCTGCCCCCAGCCTGCCTGCGTCTTCGGGGAAAGCTGGCTGCTCTCTGGGGCACCTGAGAAGTGGTGACAGGGACGTCTAGTCTTTGGGGAATTACAGCCAGAAACCCTGGGGCCGGGCCGGGTGAGAGCGTGTGGTCGGGAGCATTCTGTTTTCCCAGAAGCCGGATCACAGCCGGCCTCTGCAGCCTCTCTGCCCTGTGGCTTCCCCATTTCAGGCCGCAGAGGAGATGCCGCCTAGACTGGTGATTTTCCTACAGAGGAACCCCAGCAATAGGAAACCACAGGGCTCTGCACTGCCTGCTCAGCCTCTCGCTCTGTTATGCCAGTTGAGGGTGGGGGTGGCTGCTGCCTGTTGTAAGTCTGAGGAACCCCGTGACTTCACATAACCCAGTTTACAGTCCCAGGCAGGGAGCGTTTTAGCCTGGGGAGAGCCCCGTCCATCCTGGCACCTTCCTACGCTCCTTAGCCTTCCTGCCTTCCTTTCTAGTTCATAGTGGAGTGTCACGGCAACACCCTTTTGCCACAGTTCCTGGGCATGTACCGCCTGACCGTGGATGGTGTGGAAACCTACATGGTGGTCACCAGGAACGTGTTCAGCCATCGGCTCACTGTACACCGCAAGTATGACCTCAAGGTAAAGGGCTCTGCGTTTCCCAGCTCTGTGGCTGCTCTCCCCCCGGGGCTCGGAAGGGCCCTGATTCCAACTACCACATAATGGGAAAGCCAGAACATCTGCGGCATGGACAGGCAGCTCTGGAGTTGATTATGTCTAGTTCTTGTGGGCCAAAGGCTGTGTGACGTCCAGGTGACAGTGACAGGAGGTTACTTAAGCCCCCACTGTACCACATCTATGTAACAACTAGAGGTGGGGTCCCTTGGCCTGGTCAGCGGGGATCCGGCCAAAATCGGCTCTCCGACATCCCCCGAGGAGTCCCGGATTGTGAGAGGGCGGTTCTCGGGTGACGCACCCCGGAATCGGGCTCCCTCCTCTCTGGTTCCGGGTGCATCACCCAAGAACCGCAGCTGCCAAGTGACTGCAGCTCAGCAGCTCCTGCATTGAGCATCTGCCCCCTGGTGGTCAGTGCACGTCATAGCTACTGGCCGGTTGGCCAGTCGGCTGGCTGGTTAGGCTTTTATATATATAGACTGATGCTCTGTGACTCCTGGCAGTGGGATGGGACAGGCTGTTCTAGATGCACACACACTGGCATCGCATCTGCCCAGGCCCTGTGGACAAGTGCTTTTCTAGGCACTGAAGAGAGCACACTTTGCCTGCGAACCACAGCGCTCGCTGTGCTGACACCTCACTTCCTGACTTCACCAGTTGCCTTGCACCATTGTCCCCCTGCTGCAGCGGCACTGGTTTCCGGTCCATCCCTGCAGAGTTTGTGCTCCCCTCCTCCCCGAGATCCCACGCAGGCTGCCTGAATTATTTCCCTCCCTGCCCTTTGTCTACCTCCACCTTCCCCCATCTAATTACTTCCTACACGCCCTCTGAGCTCAGCGCAGGTATCACTTGTTCCCCGAAGCAGGCCTTGGCCACCGTCCCTCTCCAGTCCAGGCCCCTCCCTGTGCTTCGGGCTCTCAGAGTATCCTGTGTCCTCTCCTGGACCACTCAGCACCATTGTGGTTAATGGATTAATTCATGTGTAGCTACTGCTTAGTGCCTGTCTCCCCTGTTGGAAGGGAAGTTCCTCACGGGCAGGCACTGAGGCCCCTGGCACAGTCCTGTTTCCTGAGCAGGACGTGGGCGTGGTCAGAGCTCTGTGAACCGTCTGTGACAGAGGAAGTGAACCAGTTGCTGCCTCCTGGCCCCTCTAGGGATCTAACCAGCCTACTTCCGTCCACCTGCTGCCTCTCCCCAAAGACAGGGGCATGTTTTCAACGGAATTTGCCTCAGCTGGACTTTCCTGATGCCTCTTATCCTTTCAGGGTTCTACTGTTGCCAGAGAAGCGAGTGACAAGGAGAAGGTATGCTGGGGCCGGTGCTGGTCAAGCGTAGAAAGGGTTGGCTTGGAATGCGAAACACCTATTGGCCATCCTGTCCCTTCCTCCATCACAGTCCCTAGTCCACTTCCCAGACGTGCAGTCTGCCAGAGCTCTAAGCACCTGCCTAGCCTCAGCCTCAGCCTCCGCTCAGCCTCGCCTTGGTCTCCAGCCTTTTAACTTGGCCCTTGCTGGGCTCTTCATCGTCCTGGAGGGCTGGCGGTGTCCATGTCATGGTCCATCCTGAATCAGTGGGTGGCTGCCTGACCCCTGCGGTAGGCCAGGCTCGGCAGGAAGGCATGCTGTGGTCAGTCCTCGTTGCTGGGCAGATGCCACGCAGTTGCCATCCCTGTCTGCCCGAAGCCTGGGACTGCAGCCTCCTGTGCTGAGCCGTTGATGTGGCAGGTTGACCGTCTGTGCGGTGTAGACCCTTCCCCTTTCTGTGCCATGGCCCCCAGCAGGGGTCCGGGGGTGAATGAATCGGCTGCTCAGCTAACACTGTGGCTGTCCCCCCAGGCCAAGGACTTGCCGACGTTTAAAGACAACGACTTCCTCAACGAAGGGCAGAAGCTGCGGGTGGGCGAGGAGAGCAAGAAGAACTTCCTGGAGAAGCTGAAGCGGGACGTGGAGGTACGAGCAGCTCGTTCCCCCCTGTTTGAGCAGGGCCTCTGGTCCCCAGAGCAGGTGCCTCTTTAAGAAAAATTGAATTCATTGCTTTCCAAGAGTGTAGACAGAAGGAGGAGTGGGGATTTGAGCAGGTGGGTAGTTACTTGCACCTAAAGCCAGTGCAAATGAACATTCCATTTGGGGACACAATTTGTGCCAGTAGAACCATGGTAACTTAGTGTGGAATGCTTTCCCTCATCTGCTCCAACACCTTCTTCAAACTCCTTCAGAATTCCTTCCTGCCCTAACCGGTTTGGCTCAGTGGATAGAGCGTAGGCCTGCGGGCTGAAAGGTCCCAGGTTCGATTTCGGTCAAGGGCATGTACCTTGGTTACGGGCACATCCCCAGTGGGAGGTGTGCAGGAGGCAGCTGATTGATGTTTCTCTCTCATCGATGTTTCTGGCTCTCTATCCCTCTCTCTTCCTCTCTGTAAAAAATCAATAAAATATATTTTTAAAAAAAGAATTCCTTCCTGGTGGTTCCCATAGTGGAGGGGGCAACCAGCCATCGGAGCAACAGGAAGCCAGCCCGTGAGATCCACCAACCACGCCTGTGACTGGCTCTGATTCTCCACTTACCTAGTAACCTGATTAGGATGGCACTTCTTGTGGTGAAGCTCTGAGGACATGTGCTCAATAGTGACTGCGATATCTGGACCGCCTGATAACCCAGTCTCCTTCTACTTAAATAAATTGGGAGCCTGCTCATTAAAACCAAACCCTATAAACTTTTAAAAAGTTGTTTTGTTTTACTTTTTTATTATGGTAAAATATGCATAACATAAAATTTATCATCTTAACCTTTTTAAAAAAATATATTTTATTGATTTTTTACAGAGAGGAAAGGAATGGGAGAGGGATAGAGAGTTAGAAACATTGATGAGAGAGAAACATTGATCAGCTGCCTCCTGCACACTCCCTACTAGGGATGTGCCCACAACCAAGGTACATGCCCCTTGACCGGAATTGAACTTGGGACCCTTCAGTCCGCAGGCCGATGCTCTATCCACTGAGCCAAACCGGCTAGGGCTTAACCATTTTTAAGTGTACATTTCAGTGCCATTAAGTGCATTCACATTGTTGTTCAGCCATCACCATCCATCTCCAGAACTTTTTTTTCTTCCCAAACGAAAACTCTATACCCATTAAACATTATTTCCCATTTCCCTTTCTCCCTAATCCCAGTCACCATTCTTTCTGGCTCTATGAAATTGACTCCTCTAGAAGCTCGTGTACATGTGGACTCATGCAGTACTTGCTCTTTATTCATGTGTCAGAATGGCCTTCCTTCCGAAGGCTGAGGATCTCTGTTTCTAACTCTGTATCCCTCTCCCTCTCCCTTCCTTTCTGTAAAAAATCAATAAAATATATTTAAAAAAAAAAAGATTCTCCAGAGAAACAGAACCAGTAGAGTGTAAATAGATAGACAGATTGATTGACGGATGAAAGATGTTTATTATAAGGAATTGGCTCACGTGATTACAGAGCCCGACAAGTCCCAACACCCACAGTTGGCAGGTCGGGCCCCAGGAGAGCTGCGGGTGTTGTTTTAGCCTGGAGGCCGGAGGCTCGGGCCCAGAGGAGTGGATGTTTCAGTCCACGTCTGGAGAGAGGAGAAACGCTGTCCCAGCTGAGAGGCAGGCAGAGGAAGTTCCCTGTTACTCGTTGGAGGATCCGCCGTTTAGTTCTGTTCAGGCCTCAGACCCACCCCCCGTAGGGAAGGCAATCCCCTTTACTCACTTTACCGACTCAAATGTCAGTTCATCCATAAGCTCCTTACAGACACACTCAGATCAAATGTGTGGGCACCTGGTGGCCCAGTCAGGTTGACACGTGGTATTAACCATCACACTTGGGTTGTTCCATTGTGACTAATGCTGCTGTGAACGTGAGTTTAATAGACTTCTTTTGCTGGGAAGCTTTTCCTTAATCATTCCCTGCTATGTTTGTGCCTTTATTCTGATGTTCAGTTGGTTCAGTCTTTCTCCTCCCTTTTCTGCTTTTCTCCTTACTCTGCTTCTAAGAATTTTTAAAGGCAGTTTACAGAATTCATTTGTTTTCACTTACATGTTGCTTGATGAATGTTCTCAAGTGGATGGGAGGGGGTGTGGTTCAGGGACTCTCTCTCTTCCGGGATCCGGGATCCCGGCCCCTTCTCCCTAGGCCTGGGGCAGGCTTTGTCCAGGTGCTTGGAATGGTGCCCCCGCCGTTCTCCATCGAGGGGAGTTTGCTGATCTCTGTCGCCAGGGCTTCCTTTGCTTTCAGTTTTCTGGGCCTGTGTTCAGAGCCTCTCTGGTCCTATTCTCATTCTCCTCCTCGTTCCACAGTCACAGTGGTCAGTTCGAGAGTTTCCAGGTGCTGCGGGCTCAGTTTGTGACCGTGGTAGAGTGCCTGGCACGTGGCTGCTGGTGGCTGCTGGCTGGTTCATGGAGGATTTGGACCAGCGACTCTGGTCTCACTATTAGCCAGACTGGAATGCTGCTGACCATTTCCATCCTGTATTATTCCCACACTTTGTTCTTCTCCGAGACCTGGAGTCCTACATCAGGAGTCCTGAGACACCGTCTGCTCACAACACTCATTATATAGATGGGAGTCTGAGAATCGGCAAGGGGAAGCCACAGTGCAAGGGGAGGGCGCCAGCATCCTCCCCCTGCACCACAGCCCTTCTGACCTTGAGGGGAGAGTTCAGAATGTGGGTTGGCTCTGTCATTCTTATATCGTGTTTCCTTTTATTTTTCTCCCCATTTTTACCCTGAGTAGAAAGAAGTTGAATTGCATATTTTTTTCAAACTTTGCCTATTACCCCGTGGAAGTACATTTTACCTTGCAACTCAAAACACACACACACACATATACATACACACAATGAAATACTATCTATCTTTACTTCATGTTATATACTCTATTTTTCACTATATTTTAAATTTTTTTTAATCCATTTTATAGATAGCAGAATGGAGATAGAGGGGAGGGAGAGAGAGAGAGCAGCATTGATTTGTGTTCCACTTATTCGTGCATTCATTAGTTGTTTCTTGTACTCTGCCTGAGGAGCGAGCCCACAACCTTGACGTATCAGGATGATCCTCTAACCAACTAAGATACCTGGCCAGAGCCTTTTTTTCTACTTTATAATATTTAATAATAATTTTAAAAGTCCTAGTCTCGGCCCACTAAATTGGATTTAGGACTCAATGGACTGAGATTCATGATTTGAAAGACACTGCTATGTGGCGTCCATCTAGCCTCTTCCATGCAGATCCCATGATGCGCAGCACCCCATGGTGTCTTTCCGCACACTGGCCGTGGCCTCTTGGTCCCAGACCGCAGGGCTGTTCCCTCTTCCTGCAGCGCTCCTTCTACCTTTCCTTCCACAGCCTCTGCCTGCCTGACTCTTCTTCACCCTCCAGGCTCAGCTCAGCCCTTTCCCAGGGAGGCCCCCTCTCCGCTGCTGTGGACCCTGCAACTCCATGCCCTTGTGGAATGACTGTCTTCCCCACTGAGCACAGACTCTGATGTCTCATTCTCTATTGTGTTTCCAAATTGGAGAGTTGAGTTGAAAGGAACACCTTGTCTCCCCTTTCCAGATGCCCCTGAGATGCCCTGTATAACTTCTTCTGTCTTCCTTCCCCTAGTTCCTGGCCCAGCTGAAGATCATGGACTACAGTCTGCTGGTGGGCATCCACGATGTGGACCGGGCAGAGCAGGAGGAGATGGAGGTGGAGGAGCGGGCAGAGGACGAGGAGTGTGAGAATGACGGGGTGGGCAACCTGCTCTGCTCCTACGGCACACCCCCGGACAGCCCCGGCAACCTCCTCAGCTTTCCTCGGTTCTTCGGTCCTGGGGAATTCGATCCCTCTGTTGATGTTTATGCCATGAAAAGCCATGAAAGTAAGTGGGAGCCTGTGCCTGCCCTGCCCACGGCTGGCTTTCATCCTTCCCGCCTGGGCCCATTGTTTTGCTGTCCCTGTGGGTCTCTGGGTTTCCACCTCATTAATTAATAGCTGACTTGGGCCTCTTTCTGCCTCCAGGCTCCCACACTGAGTCATCACCAGTAACTTTGTCTTCTGGGCCCTGGGGTTCTTCTCCATTAGGCCTTTCTTATCCTCTCTGCTTGTCCTGGATATTTGAGGCATAGTTCTTTGACTCATGGGATGGACAAAACTTTATAAATACTCTCATGTCAACCCCACAGGGAGCTGTGAAGACCAAATAAGATAAGAGCTATGAGGTCCTGGCCAGTGTGGCTCAGTTGGTTGGACGGTGGTCTCATACACCAGAAGGTGGAGGGTTCGATTCCCAGTCAGGCAGCTGATCGATGTTTCTCTCTCACATTGATGTTTGTCTCTCTCCTGAACTCTCTCTGGAATCAATAATAATAATTTTAAAAAGCGATGAAAGCTTCTGAGGATTCCATTAACCATTTTTTTTCTCAGATCCAAAATGATAGGGATTGATGTGGATCTCCTGTCTGAAGGTTTTTGGACCCACCTCTTCCTCCTTGCTTGTTTCCCCTCCAGGTTCCCCCAAGAAGGAGGTCTATTTCATGGCCATCATTGATATCCTCACACCATATGACGCTAAGAAGAAAGCTGCACATGCAGCCAAAACAGTGAAACACGGGGTGAGTTCTCCGTCTCCAGCCAGGCCCAGTGGGTGGGCCCTGACTCTCAGGCCTCCTGCTTTAAGGAGACACTCCCCCGCCCCCTCTCCCAGGGCAGGGAACAGGAAGAGCAGCCTGCCTGGTTGCCTGGTGTTCACTCTCTGCCGTCTATATCCACCCCTGGGTAATATGCCAACTTGTTTTTCCCTTTGTTCTCTGCCCTCGGGACTCTGAGCCCACTGGTGCCTCTTCCGAGGGCTGTGGGCATGCGGTGCACCTTGCTGACTGCCAGTAATAGCTTTGTTTACATGTCCACACTGCGCCCCAGAGGCCCATTTCCCCATAGACTTCAAGCTACTCTTCTCCAAACAGCGGCTCCCACAGGGATCAGGAGTCTCTCTGCTGCCTCCCCACCACTGGCCTCGACTTTAGTGGGTGCGTCCCTGGGGTTGGGAATCAGAGGAGGGGGCCAGGGCAATTCTGAGACATAGCTGCCACCTCTCCAGTCCAAGGGGTTGTATTCAGCTCTAGTGCTGATCCAGAGGCTCCTGAACACCCAGGCCTGTCCCAGGTGCAGCCTGCTGAAGAGGGCCAAGGAGCTGGACCTGAATCAATCTCTGTATTACAGGCGGGGGCCGAGATCTCGACTGTGAACCCTGAGCAGTACTCCAAGCGCTTCAACGAGTTCATGTCCAACATCCTGACGTAGTGACCTTCTGCCGTCAGCCACAGCCAGAGAATGAGATATGGGGTTGGGGATCGGAAGGGGGAGAGGGTGTATTTGGGCTCGATGGAGGGGTGGGAGCAGAGTGGGGGGCCGGGAGGGCTTTAGCAGTGAGACTGCAGCCTGTGACACTGAAAGGTTCTCGGGAGGGGGATGTGCTGTGTGCTCATGCTCACAGGATGTAGCCTCACCTCCTTCTTACCTTTGATGCCCCCACCCCATTTGACCCAGGTTAAAAAGGGGTTTCCTTTTTGTTACCTTGTAGCCTTTTAAAATACCTTGGGGCTAGAGGTGACTGTGGGTTGATTTGGGTTTTTCTGAAATGTCATTGCCCTAGGTTTGCTATTTATAATGATGATGTCATCACCCTATCCACCCTCCCTTCCCTGCCCTAGTCCCTTCAATGACAGGCACCCTGCAGACCCTGCCAAGGGTCCTCTCAGAGCCAAGTGCTCTGACACCAGAGGAGAGGTCAGACGCCTCATCCCTCTTGGATTAACTTTTAATTTTATGAAGTATTGTGCACAGCCTCCTTCACCTTTCCTCCTCGGATCCAAGTGATGCCTCCACATAAACGCTGTCCTCCTGAAGGAACACTCCAGACCAACACCGGTCATTTTGGATCAGAATCAAAGACCTCGGAGGGGAGTGAGTTGGTCCTCCTGGCTGGCGAGGGCGGGGGTTGCTGCTGGGCTCTGACTGCTGGTTCTCAGAGCACCCGGGCTCGTCGCTCAGCCGCTGGGCTCTCTGGGCCCCTGGAGTTCAGATGTCTTCTCGATAAAGCCTGCCTCCCACTTGGTCAAGAGGAACAAGAAAGGACCTTTGCGCTTAAATGGTTTTCTTCCCCTTGGAGAAACCCCAGACGCTGATGAGTATCACATGAGGGCCCGTGCCCTCCATCCACTTACTTCCTTTTGACCTTTTCCCAGGCACCCTCACTGTAGGTGAGCTTTCAGCTGGGGGCACACCTCCAGGTGCCGGGGTGCTTCTTGCTGAGATTCCTCCTTGGGTCCCAGGGCTGCCATGCAGGTGACCTGACTCCCCGTGCCTGTGTTTGTCCCTGGATGTCACGGCCAGCAGGGAGTGACGCCTCCCACCGTGGATGTGGCGCCCAAGCCTGATCGTTTCTGGATCGCTTGAGGATGTGACCGCGGAATCCAGTGCGGAGGCTGGAGGTGGGATTGGATTTGGATCCATCTTCGGTGCCCCATCTAGATTTTAACAGATCTGCCACCTACAGGCGTCCCGAGGAATGGCATCCTCGGCCTCCTTCAGGATCTCCACCCGCCTTCTGAGCCTTGCTATCCAGGCCTCAGAATCGAGCTGTGTCATTCTGTGGTGACATCAGAGCCGTCTGGTCTGGCTAGGGGAGAACACAGCCCTGTGCTGGAGGAGGTACATTCCCACACCTTCTCAACCCCTCATCAGGAACGGGATTTAGGATGAGAGATGTTAAAACATGTAGGTAACCCCACAGATTCGAAGGAAGTTTGTGGAAGCATTTTGAATGAATGGATTGGTTTCCTATGGTTCCTTCCACACTTGGCCAAGCTCAGCCTCTGGAGCAGGAACCATCACCGTCTCTGCCCTGCCTGCAGCATTTAGGTCAGGAGGGAGTGGAGACAGCATTCTTGGACTCCTCTGGGGCCGGGGACCCCTCTGGAAGCAGCAGATGGGTCAGACAACTGCCCGGGCCCCAGGAAGGGGCCATAGGTAACTCTAAACATCAGCAGTAAGACCATGAAGGGACTCGAGGAAGGACTTGAAACCCAATGGCACGTGGAAAAAAACTGACTTAGGAAGGGATCATAGGAATAAGGTTTGGACTTGATTTCCCCACCTTCTAATCAAGAATAGAAATTTGGATCTGCTCATAGGCCCAGCATCTCCAAAGGTTGGCAGGCTGTCTCCCAGCAGCCTCCGTAGCCTCGGGCTCCCACTGGCTCCCTGCATTTGGTCTGATCATGTTGCCATGATGTGTATGAATCATGTAATAATCCTATCAGTGAAAGATGAGCTACCAAGTATGACTTGTTTAACATTGAGTTTTTGTGATTTTGTGCGGTTTATTTTTTGTATATTGTTTACATTTTGAGAGGTAGCATCCTATTGCAAATGCTCTTTTGTGTTTCTGACAGTGTTGTTGATTGGGTCGGAACATTTAAGGTGTGGTTTGGTGAATTGTAGATTTTTTTTTTAAAGGTCATTCTGTGCTATTTTCAAAACCTTGGGTTTGGCCCTCTAATTCTTTTGGCATTCAAATGTTTAAAAGCTATTTATCTTGGTTTATGCAAGTTTTCTTTCTCTTCTTTTTATAATGATGAAGATATATTTGGTTTGCAGTCTGAATGTAGAGAAAGTGAACTGATCCCCAAGCTTTTGTCTGTCCCCACTTTTCTTCCCCAAATCCCACCGTTCCCCTCTGAGCAGAAGGCATCTGGGGGGGATGTAACCACCCTCAACCTCACTCTTTGGAGCTTTGAAACTCACCTGCCTTACGGCATCCTAGAGTAGTTTTGGGCCTCCCAAGAGCAAAGGTGGAAGAATAGGACATGGCTGACTGGGTGAGGCCTGGAGGGCAGGACTTGTATCCCAGTCTCCCATCCTGCACCTGTTCTGAACCTCTACAGCTAAGAGACTAGTCTCCAGGTTTCCCAGCCAAAGCGAGGGGTTGTCTGAAAGCTCCACTGAGACTACTAGATGAAGACCTCTGGCCCTTGTTCCTGAACCACTGAGTCTTACCCTCCCGGTGGGCGCTCCTCCCCATGCCCCGCAGGGGGAGTAGCGGGAGGGTTGGGAAGCCCGCAGGTCCAGGAGCACAGCTGAAGCAGTGCTCCATCGATCCTCATCTTGCTCAGGAGCTACTGGCCTGTGGCTATTCTCAGAGGCACTCCCCAAGTTCCCATCACAGGCAGCTCTTCCTGCTTCACTTGTTCCTCTTGCCTGTGCGTTAGGCCTCAAGCAGGCCCCCTGGGAGTACTCAGGCCTGGGGACTGCAGACTCCTGCCCGAGCGCTTTCCCTTCTTCACAGACTGCCAGGATGTGCCCTGGGGAGGTGAACCAAAGACCCAGGACTTTTCTCAGTAGCCAGTTCCACCCCCTAGTCGTCTTTTTACCAGTTCAAGTTGGGAGGAAGACCAGCACTCCCCAGCATTCGAGCTACTAGAAGGTTAGGGGCTGGGAGTGTTTCAACAACCCTTAGAGCTCTGGCTTCCCTCAGCACAGGGACCTCACCTCTTTCTGTCAGAAATGTGTGGAGGGGGAGTCCACTCTAAGCACAGGAATCAAAGGGAAAACATTCAAGTAACTGCCCCTCAATGTACCAGCCATCTGCACGGTCTGGAGGGGCAGGGACATGGCCCTCCCCTCCCTGAGATGCGCCACTCATGAGGGTGCCTCCAAAGGGAAGAGACTGGCTTTCCCAGCGGGTTGTGCTGAGATCCTCGGAGGCTGGAGAGGAATCTTCTGGAGGAGCCCCTTCCTCTTGCTCAGGAGGAAGTAGGAACCAACCACCTTTGGGGGAAGGCCTGGTGCTGCTCAGCACACCCAAGCACCAGGTCAGGTCATTGTAATAAAAAATGTGAATTAAGTATAGATTCAATTTCGGGGGGAGGAGGATAAACTATCACCCCACCATATGTGTGTGACCTCCATTTCCCACTGCGATTTCCATTTTTTAAATAGGAATTTTCAGCCCCTTGTGCTTGTCTAATGTCTGCTCGGAACAGTTCGAGACCCTGTTACTGTTTTAAAATGCATGCGTGTTACGATGAATCTTCAACCCAAGGAAAATAAAACTTAAAAAGCTTTGTGTACACATCTGTCATGTGTGAGTCCTTCAGAAATGAGCCTTTCATTCCTTTTTTTCAAAATTAAAAGGTTGTGGTCCCAGTGTCAGAGGCTGCTTGGGCTAAATTAATGTATGGCTTGCATTTGGAGAAAGACTCGATTCTGGTCACCCACTTGCAGATGTGGTTATGAAGAGCAAGGCACTGGAGCTGGTCTGTCAGCTGTCGTTCCCGCGCACATTGGAAAATGGACAGACCCCCCCGCCCTCCCTTCTCCAGCTGTTGTAGAACCACACACACCTGACACACCAGCTGTAAGGCTGGCTTTGAACAAGTTACCTCCATGTTGTATCGAGGTTCTCAGTCTAGACCAGCCGTGGGCAAACTATGGCCCGTTTGAAATGAATAAAACTAAAAAAAAAAAGACCGTACCCTTTTATGTAATGATGTTTACTTTGAATTTATATTAGTTCACACAAACACTCCATCCATGCTTTTGTTCCGGCCCTCCGGTCCAGTTTAAGAACCCATTGTGGCCCTCGAGTCAAAAAGTTTGCCCACCCCTGGTCTAGACTCTTTCATTTGGGGAACTCAGAAAAGACAGGTGCTCAGGCCCCTTTAAAAGACCAATTGAATAAGAATCTTGAGGGATGGGATCAAAGTATCTGTTTTAGAAGCTCCCCAGGTGACTAATGTGCAGCCAAGGTTAGAAAACACGGATCTACAGGCTAGTACTTGTAGGTACTCGGCCAAATTTCTACCTGAAACAATGAAAGAAGATTTAAGGGGTTTCTAGTTGAGTTGAGTGAAAAGGAGTCTAGTCTTTGAAGTCAAATGGAATGTGGGTTTTTACACCTTTGCACCACCACTTACTACAGTGGCCCTGTGCAAGTTATTTAACTACCTTAAGTCATTGTGATGATTAAGTTCCAAAATGTGTAAAGCACTTTGTGCAGGGCCTATAACAGGCACCAAATGATGTGTAGACATTATCCCCTCTGGTCGGTGGAGATGCTGTAAGTCAAGGCCACCTACGGGCTGAGCTAGACCCTGAGTACCTATCTGTAACTTCCCAGCTGGGGATAGAGATCAAAGAAACAGGAGTGAAAGAAAACATTTTACTTAAAAAACAAAACAAAAAACAACAGTGGGCTCTGGAAACGGGAGTTAGTCCATTCGGGCCTTCAGGGTCCTGGTGGTGATTTTGTCCTTCTCACTGCAGGGGGAGAAAATCATGAGACTGCAGAACAAGTGGCGTCCTAACTGGGTTTAACTGTTTTGCTCACGTACGTTAACGTAGCCTGTGCTGAGGAAGGGGAGCATGGAGAAGTGGGGGAACTGGTGAAAGCTCCCGTAGGTGGGACCATCAGGAGGTGAGATGATTCAGGGCTGGACTGAGAAGCCGTCCAAAGAAAGGAAGGCGCTCCTCCAAGGCCTAGAGAACAAGGAACTAGGAAGGACATGCAATGGATTTCACGGATGGACATAACACTGTCAGTCCCAGTCTGTTTCTATGGTGATTAAGCAGGATATCCCATAACAAAAGGCTCCAAAGACTTGTTCTGGTTGTACCGAAGGGAAGCAGTTGGGAGGACACCTATCCAGCTAGGTTCCTGGTGACAGCCCCCAACAACTAAGAGGAAAAAGGGGACGGCAGGCAGAGGGCAGGAAAACAGCTCCCAGGGCGCAGCACTTCACACACTGAGTCCCACACTGGTGGGAACTGGGAGAGAGGAGGGAGCCACCCAGTGTTTCAGTCTGTCTGCAGTAGCTCTGCTGTGGCTCCTCACCACACAGGTCCCTGAGATTTTGGGGGCACTTAAAGGGAGAAAGAAATGTCTATTGTGAACAAGGGGAGACTCGGGGTCATGGAGCCTCACCTGACTGAGGCCAGGGGAACCTGGGTAGGCTCCCAGCTGCCACCCTTAGGGATTTCTGCTCTCCCACATCTGCCAGGGCTCTGGGAAGATGGGGGTGTTTGTGTGGGAGGGGAGAGGGAAGTGTCTGCAAAGCTTCTGGACTTGCAGCTCATACTCACATGACGTGGACGACGACTCCCATGCCTGACACGGCGTCACGGTCCACAGCATTCAGCATGGCTTGTGAGATGGTTTCAAATAGGTGTTCTGGATCCTGCCAACAGAGCAGAAGCCTTTCAATCCCCAGAACCTCGGACGCCAATGTGGTCTGGCTCCTTAACACTCTATTTTTCTAGGCTCAAGGACCCCAGCTGTGGCCCTCCTCTGCCTGAAGTGAAAGACCCCCTCAGTTCCTTCCCAGAAGGGAGCAGGTTATATAAAGGGAAGTTCAAGCCCTGCACTTCCTCCACTAATCAGCAGTGTGACCTTGGGCAAGTCATACCTCCCTTCACTAAGCCCCAATTCCTCGCCTGTACAATGGGGAGAAGACTCCCCATCTGGCTCCCATGTGCTCTGTCAGCTGTCTGATGGACTCTCCACCTGGGTGTCCCATTCATACTCAAAACTCAACCTGTCCAGCCATGACAGCACATTTCCACCCAAACCTGTTCTTCATTCTCTATCTTTGATGTTTTAGTTAGAAAACTCAGGAGTCCTTAATATCTCCACCTCCCTCATTTGTTTTAAGTGACTAAGTCCTCTAGACCAGTGGTCGGCAAACTGCGGCTCGCAAACCACATGCAGCTCTTTGGCCCCTTGAGTGTGGCTCTTCCACAAAATACCGACTTCTGCACATGGGCCACGAAGTTTCAATTGCACTGTACATGCGTCCCCGCACGTGGTATTTTGTGGAAGAGCCACACTCAAGGGGCCAAAGAGCCGCATGTGGCTCGAGAGCCGCAGTTTGCCAGCCACTGCTCTAGACCATGGCTGCCTCACCTTCCCACTGCCACAATCTTTGCTCAGGACCTTAGAGCCTCCTGCCGGTGACCACAACAGCTTGTCCCTTCTACCTGCAGGCCTCTGGTTCCCGAAGGTTCCTTCCTGCCCTTGACACCGCACCAGAAGGAAAAGTTCAAAGTCCTGGGCATGGCATTCAAGGTATTTCACAGTCTCATCCCAACCTCACTCTCCTTCATCACCTCGCCCCACATCCCGCTCACACTCCCGCAGCCACAGTGAGCTCTCTGTCTCTGACCACGGGGCCCCTCCCGCACCTTTGCACAAGCTGTTCCTTCTGCCAACCAGGCCCTTTCTCTCCCCCTCTTCCTAGCAAACGCATTTTAACAAGCATTTGGGTGTCTGCCTTGCTTCATTAGACTGCAGTGAGCCCTTGCAGACAGACTTCCTGCTTTCCCCAGAGTCTGACCAAGCCGGCACAGCAGACAACCCTCACTGCCAGGCACTGTTCCATCTTCTCGTGTTTCCTCACACCTCCATGGATAAGGTAGGTGCTACTGTTACCCCATTTTACAGCTGAGGAGACGGAGGCAGAGCAGTACATCGACTTACCCAAGAGTAGAACTCACTAAGCGGTTGGTGCAGCTGGTATTCCAACCCAGAGCCCATTCTGTTGGGCTGCCTCTAAAACTACACTTTACATTTTGTTAAATGTTTGTTAATTGAATGAATGTGAGAACCCTGAAAACCCAGTGTGAGGAATTATTTGTTGTAGCAAATATCTGACTGGGGTCCCTGGAGCCAGCCAGCCCACACCAAGGCCCTGGCGGATGGAGTTTCTGGCTCAGCAGCTGTGGCTTTCTCCCCTACCCACACCATTTCCCCCAGTATCTGCAAGGCAAACACATGTTCCCCTGATGGTCAAGGAGAGGAGGCCACCTCAGATCCCAGCCCCACTTCACGCCACCAACTCACCATGTCGGGCTCCCAGAGGGACTCGCACATCCCATACATCTGTTCGGCACAGGTGCCGCTGACCACAAAGTCGTCGGTCACCATGGGGCAGCCAATGAGGTCCAGAGAGCAAATGAAGGGCTGAAAGGTCTTCGGGTCCAACCCAGCAATGACTGGCTCCGTGTAGTAGGGGCCAAACCTGTAGGGCCAGGAGCAGAGAGAAACCAGAACTTAAGAACAAGTCCTTTCCTGTTCAGGTAGTCAGACAAGGCCCTGGCCCAGGCCCAGGCCTAGGGAGGAAAACAGAGGGCCTGTTTGGGAAAATCTCCTTTTCCTGTGGCCAAGGGAGAGGGAGAGATCAAAACATCAATGATGACAGAGTGTCATTGATCGGCTGCCTCCTGCACGCCGACAGAGTGTCATTGATCGGCTGCCTCCTGCACGCCCCACACCGGGGATCGAACTCACAACCCGGGCATGTGCCCTGACCGGGAATCGAATCGTGACCTCCTGGTTCATAGGTTGATGCTCAACCATTGAGCAACACTGGCTGGACCTCGATGCCTTTTTATTATTTTCAATAAACATGAGCCATTAAATATATACCTTAATGTGAGTTAAATTTTATAAAGCCCCCTCATATGAATCAGTTTAAAAAATCTTTTGTTAAGCCTTTCTCAATGTGGGATTTTGATAAATGTGGTTACTATATACCAGACAATTCACAGCCGAGGAAATGAACTTATGCCTAAAAACAAAATGGTAGTCCTGCCTGGCTAGCGTGGCTCAGTAGTTGAGCGTCGACCTATGCATCAGGATTTCATGGTTCGATTCGCGTTCAGGGCATATGCCCGGGTTGCGGGCTTGGTCCACAGTGTGGGGCGTGCAGTACAGGAGGCAGCCAATCAGTGATTCTCTCTCATCACTGATGTTTCTTCTTTTTTCATTTTCAATAAATTTTATGTGACCTAGTTTCTGGGTTAATTTTTTACCAAACTGCTAGGAACGTACTGTGCCAATATGGCGGAAATGAACTTGTGCTCAGGAGGCCTTGGTGAGGGACACCAGCCAGGCCTACCATATGCACCGTGGTGGTTCATCACTGATAGATCCTGTGACTTTAAGTGAAATGATATATAACAAAACCAAATGTACCATAGATCAATTGATACAAACAAGTTCCTATGGCATCTCATCGTTATGACAAAGCGACGTTGAGCAAAATGTCATCCTAGGACCTGCGATATCTCCACTCACCGTTTCTCATACAAGAGGTTGGCCACCATGCTCATGAGGGTGTAAGGCTTGATCTGCCGGCCTTCCTTCAGCTCATACAGGTTCAGTCGGAACTTAAGGCGCTGGGCACTGTGGAAGGAGCAAAAGAATCAGTAAGCCACTGTCCCCTAGTGTCCAACCTGTGGGGGTCAGGAGGGACATAGGAAGACACCACCTGGGCCCTGCCATGGCTCCTCCCTTCCCCTCCCAGGGATTTTCTCACCAGAAGTCCAACCTCATGTCCATGTTTCAGGACTTGCCCAACACAACACCTGGACACACCACTCTAATAACCTTCCCCGCCCCAATACTTTTTAGAGGGGAGATTTATATATATTTTATTGATTTCAAAGAGGGAGATAGAAACATCAATGATGAGAATCACTGACTGGCTGCCTCCTGCACGCCCCCTACTGGAGATGGAGCCCGCAACCAAGGCATGTGCCCTTGACTGGAATCAAACCCAATAAAATGCACAGCAGAAGGAGCAGTGGACTGAGAGAGCTGACCTGGGCTAAGCCTTCATCCTCCACCTTAATTTTTTCATCCTCAAGATGAGGAAAAAGTCAATCACCTGGTGGTGAGACAATGTATGGGCATATGACAAGGTGCTTGGAAGACTGCAAAGTCTGATATGTCTTAAGCAGCAGCCACACTAAGGGACCGGAAAGTGACTAAGAAAAAAAGGCCACAAATCCTCCAGTGCCATCTGCGAGCCCGGGAATGGGCCCCTGTGGGGAGCAGACTAATGCCATCCCTGCCGGAAGCAAAGCAAAGAGCCACACAGGCCCCCGGGTCAAGGAGCCTCGGACACGAGCTTAGCTTCATCCGACAGGCGAGGAAGCAACGGCCTAGCAAAGGGAGCCATTACCGCCCCAAACAAACAAACTCGGTGAGAACAACCTCCCGAAGAAATGAAGGGTGTGAGGAGAACGGCCGTGGCCGGAGGGAGGACGGCTGGTGGGCGCCGTCACACCGACTGGAACTCTCAGCTACCATTCCCTGACTCCACCAGAACCGGAAAAAGGTCAGCTGGCTCAGTTAGATCCCAGGAGGAATTTCCAAGTTCTATGTTCTTGAGACTTAGGGGACTTTCAGGGACACGACAGAGAATGCTTTCTGCCAAGCGTCCACCCACATTAGCGAACTGGTCCCTCGATCTTCCAGAAACAAAGCCCAGGAACCGCCGCTTCTTAGGCTGCCAGCTTCTTTCAGGACCCGGCACCTGTGACCACACCTTCTCTCCGGAAACTCAATCTTGATTCTTTTCCTCTGGCTTCTCATCTGACCCCGCTGCTAACATTATGCAGTTCAGCTTACTTTTCCCCCTTGTCTCTCCAAAATCCGTTCCCATAGATTTAACAGCTCACCAACACCTCTCCAGCCCCGAGATATCGTTTCATACCCCAAATGCTTACAAGATGTTTCCACTTGGCATGCCTTGTCCCCTCAAAATTAGTGTCAAAATCAAAGCCGTCACCTCCCTCTAAAACAGCGGTCCTCAACCTGAGGGTCACGACCCCTGAAAATACATCCTGCATATCAGATGTTTACATTACGATTCATAACAGTAGCAAAATTACAGTGATGAAGTAGCAACGAAAATAGTTTTATGGTTGGCGGTCACCACAACATGAGGAACTGTATTAAAGGGTCGCGGCATGAGGAAGGTTGAGAACCACTGCAAGTCCTCCCAATTCCCATGTTTCAGTCAACAGGCTCAACACAGAAATCATCTTGAAAACATTTCTGGACGGCCTACATCCGGGTACTAGCTTAGACACTAGTAAGGACAAAAGGGAGGAACCACAACCTCAATGAAGGACTCTTTGGCCTCACAATATCCAAGCAGCCACCACGGCTGGCCAGCAACAACTCTCAGAAATGCTTTCCTTTCCTTTCCCATCACCCCCACCCCATCAGGACCACAAGGAGCACACCTGGACTATCGCAACGGCTACCTAGATCAGGGGTCCTCAAACTACGGCCCGCGGGCCACATGCAAATACAAATATTGTATTTGTTCCCGTTTTGTTTTTTTACTTCAAAATAACATATGTGCAGTGTGCACAGGAATTTGTTCATAGTTTTTTTTTTTAAACTATAGTCCAGCCCTCCAACGGTCTGAGGGACAGCGAACTGGCCCCCTGTTTAAAAAGTTTGAGGACCCCTGACCTAGTTCATCTCCCAGACCCTCCCTTGTCTCAAATCACAGAACCACTGCCAACTAGAGAGCTAACCTAGCAGCCCATCGGCACCGGGGCCAGTTCTCTTTCTGTATGCCTGCCTTGTCCCCAACTAGACCTGAAGCCTTTCAAAGACGGAGCGTGCAGGCTTTCGCTTCCGAGGGGCCTGTGTGGGATCTTGGTTGAACTTCATCAGCTTGCATCTTGGGCAAGATGCTCTCTGAGACCCTCGGCTCCCCGATCTGCAACACAGGACCGAGGGCACCGTGGTGATGTCACTAAACGAACCCACGCAGGTCAGGTGCTTTCCACAGCCTGGCACAGAGGCAACGCCGGTGTAAGTCACTAGCACACAGCTCTGTCATGCGTGGTGTCCCGCAAAGGCTCGAACTCACTGGAGCTTTGGGTAGATGGCTGACACCCGGGCCACGCACGACGCCAGGCCAGGCTGGTCCATGGAGAGGCCGGGATGTGGGCGGGGGTCCCCGACACTTACACGGTCTGGACGTCGGTGGCTAGCCCGGCCAGGCCGATGTACAGCCGGTCGCCCATGGGGAAGATCTTCTGGAAGTCCGTGGTCACCATCTGGGCCTGGATCCCGAAGCGCCTGTCGGCGGCGATGGCCACGCAGTCCTTCCCCTTCATGGCCATGACGGCCCCTCCATTGTAGGACATAATAGACTGGGGCAGACGGGGGGGAAGGGCTCAGCGCGAGGTCAAAGGCGGCCACAGACCCCGGCCCAGCCCCTCATCCGGAGGCTCCCGTCCACACCGTCCTCCACTCTGGAGGCGCCTGGAGGCCTCGAACTCCAGATCTGAGATCAGCCCTACGGGGCTGCGAGGAGCCGCATTCGCCTCACCCACCGTGGTCCTCACCGCGGTGCGCTCCCCTTCAAATTGGAGCCGCTTCCTTCAGTCGGCCGCCAGGCCCTCTTCGCCTCCCAAACCTCCCATGACCCCCGTTTTTCAATCGCTACCCCGAGTCCCTACTCCTCGCTCCCATCTCACCATGATTGCGGTGTAGTAGGACCTCCGACCGCCACAATTCCAGCAAACCGGCCGGGGACCTCACTGCGCAACCACCCTCGCTGTTCTCTCTCTATTGGCTGAAAGGCCGGCCTTTCCGGGATATTTTGGCTTTCTATTGGCTGAACGTCTCTGTCAGTCACCGGCACGGGAAGTTTGATTGAGAAGTCAAACCGGGGACCGTAAAGCGGAAAGTGAAAAGTCACGGCGAGTGCGGAAGGACCTGGCGTCGCGGTGCAGGCTGGGATCGCGGCGGACCGGGTCTCGGGACCCGACAGACTGGAGACAGGATCTGCGTGCGCCTGGGCTGCTGAAGCCGTAGATACGCGGCTGCAGCCGCAGCTGAAGGGCTGCAGTGTTGCTTGTCGAGCTTATCACTCATCTTAGCTGGTTTCATTTATTTATTCCAGAAACCCTTACCTGTTGTGTGCCAAGCACTAGGCTCTGGATATTAACGGTGCCTGGTGTTTAAGAGGCGCCATCAAGTGCATATTTAATAATGCGAGGAGGGGAGGGCAGTAGGTGGGCGTCGCGAGTGTTCAGCTGCAGGGGTTCAGCCGCAAAGGGGAGGTTTGGAGGCCGAACGTTGTTCTCTGGGGTCGATTTCAAGTATCCCAAATCTCAGCTCACTCTAAAAAGGGACGTTCCTAGCTTTCCCTTATCTAAGATCCGGAGGCAGCCGGCGCCCACCCCTCCAGAGCCAATGGAGGAAGGCGTGCCTGTCCTGCCAGCTTTTTTCCACGAATCAAGACCCTTCCCTTTCTCCCTCGGGTCCGTTTTTGCACGTCTGCGAGGGTTTCTGTTCTGACTTCTGCTTCGTCGCAAGCTCACTCCTATTGACTCAACTCTCCGCCACCTTAACAGTCACGACAGTCTCTGTGGCGCAATCGGTTAGCGCGTTCGGCTGTTAACCGAAAGGTTGGTGGTTCGAGCCCACCCAGGGACGCTCTGTTTTCCTCCCTCCTAAGCGTAATTATCCCAACTGCTAGAGTCCCCAAATTTGGTGTTGAAATGGCAGAGATACACTTTTTCTATAGCACCTCAGAGGGTCATTGTGATTGGAAATTTATTGTTTACTCAGTGATGGGGTAATTTCTCCGCGCTTTTTTCTACCACTCTGCCCCCAAACTGGACGGCAGGAATAACAGACAGATTTTTGTCTTACCCGGCAATCCCAATACGTTTCAGGTTGCATTTTTTGTAGGATTAAGAACGAATTTCCAGTGGAGGTTAGATAGTTTTCCATTGCCGGTCTCAGTCGCTGTTACAATCTCAAACTATTACATTTGGAAGGGAAGAAAGCGTGTGAGAGAAAGGCAGAGACAAACTGAGGGATGAAGAGAAAGGTGAGAAAGGGAGAACATCGCTGTGATGTGCGGACACAGGAAGAGGGGATATGACAGAGGAAATAGGCGAGGTCAGAGGAAGGAAGACCCAGAGGAAATGGAGAGAAGGAAAAGAGCAGTTAATATGAGAAGCATTAGAAAAGGGAAAACAACAAAACAGTTTTTTTTCTAGAAATACACCCACATAAGTGAGGAGGATTGGGAAATAGAAGCAGAAACTGACAAAGGACATTGTTTTGGGGAGACACAGATAAAGGGACAGAAGGAAAGGCAGTCATAAAATCCCGAGAGGAGCCACGCTCTCCCACCACTGTCCTCATCTTCGAGGGGATCTGACCTGGCAATAGCTCTTGGTATGAGCCAGAAACGATCACCCCGATTTCCCAGGTCCCTAAGGAAGCGGATTCTTCTGATGAGTACTTGTCAGGTAGAGAATCAGAGAATCACCTGCGATACTACAACTACGATTGAGATAAAGAATTGGCACCTGACCTCTCCCAGAAGCACGTTCAAAGGCAGGGGGTAGGAGCCTCCACTTTCATGAAAGAGCTAAGCAAAGGACTCTCTCAAGCCATTCTCTTCCACGTCTGGTCTCTTCTCAAGATTGGGCTCACAGGGGCCTCGTCTGAAAGCCCTTGCCAGTGCGCACCCTCCCTGCCCCGCTCCCACACCGCTGGTGGGGGACACGGAAGGGTACACAGTGCCATGGGAGCTCACCAGACAGGCTGTGTGACCCTCCGGAGTTGCCCCCGTGGGTCTGAGTACCCAGCCCGGGAAAGCCCGGCTCATCAGCGTTCTGTGCCCTGTGCCCAGCGCAGTACTTGCATTGACACATGACAGGTGCTTCTTTGTCCGGACACTAGACACATTCAGATGTGGGGAAGGTTGGGACAGAAGATTCTCCTGCTAAACCAGAAAGGCCAGGGATATGGGGACCTGCTGCCTAGGACAGAAATGATGCAAGTTTTCGTGGGTAATGGGGTCTTCAGCTTGCTCCTTCTGTCCTGTGGTTTGCTCCCGGCTGGTGCTTGATAATTGAGGAACAAGTGAATGGATCCCAGGTGAGCACCGAGCGCGGTATCCCTTCTAGCCGCACCCCAGGATCAAAGAACCGCAGTAGGACTCAGAGGCAGTAGCAGATTACCCCCCCCCCCCCAATACACACACAACCAAGGGCAGCCCCTGGATGCTCGTGTGCACTGTGGGTGGGATTGAGATATCGAAGCCCCTACAGGTTGCTCTTGCTCCGGATCTTCTAGCCCCAAAGGAGTGGCAGACCAAGCGTCCTTGCTGCACTCCCCTCCCCAAAGGGCGACGCCGGGACAGAAGAGGATGCCCGGGTCTTCCCTGGCAGAGTCCAAGGTTCAGGCGACACACTTGCCCTGGGGACAAGGGGTGCGTCCATCCCCAGAACCCCCTTTCCCAGAGGAGCGGCGAACTCCCGGTCTGTGCATGCAGACAGTGTGGAGCAGGTGACCAGGCCCGCCCCCCGCCCTCCTCTCCCCGCCCCCACTCGGCCAGGGTGGGCTGAAGGCTGAAGCTGGGGTCACTTGGCGGCCAAAGGGTGACCCTGGTCTCTGGCCAGCGAGTGAAAGCGTGCAGCCCGCGGACGCCAGCTTCGGGGCGGCCTGGCCTGCGAGCGAGAAGGGGAGGAGGAGGAGGAGGAGGCGGAGGCAGGCGCTCCGAGGCTGGCCGAAGAGTCGTCTCCCAGTTTGCTAACTCGAGCGAGCCACCGCCAGCGCACTTAATGGCGTTTCTGGCCGGATGGTCGCGCTCTTTGGAGGAACAGACACAGTGACCATCCCCAATAAATCTCGACGAACGAATAAGCGAATCGACCGTCTTCATGAGGCAGGCCCGCGGGCGTCGCCGAAACGTAGTATCGATTAGCTCCCCCGGCGCCACCGCCGCCCCCCCTTCCCGGCTGGTCCAAGCCTTCCTCCTCCCCCCCCCCCCGGCGGGATCCCCTGTGGGGACAGGAGCCCGCACCCTCGGCGGGAGCGAGGTCGCCGCCGCCGGGAGGGAGGCGCACCCACCGCGCCGAGCGCGCAGCGCGGTCCCCGCCGCGGCGCACATTGCGGGCACCGGCGCGAGGCGGGGAAAAGCGCGGGCCCACCTTCCAGCCCGGCGCCGGGATTTCTAGTTTATTCGGGCCGCTCGCATTCGGCCCGGTGATTGAGTCCCGGGCCCGGGGCCTGAGTCTCCCCGCCCAGGTTGCGTCCCACTCTCCCCCACACCCGGGGCGCCAGCCTCCACCACGGCGACCCCCCCACCCCCGCCGCCTCGCCCTCCGTCCCCAGGCGGGTTGCTCCCTCGAGGCGCCCCGGCTGGGGCCCGGGTGCTGCGTTTCAGAACCGGCGACCGGGCCGCCGAGAGGGGCGAGGAGGGCGGGGAGGACGCGCGCCTGCAGATGCAGCTGTTATTTTTAAGGGAATCTTATTCGAGTGAATGGAAAGGGCCCAGACGCGTGGACGCGGAGGCGTCGCGTCCCTCGCCCGAGCCCAGCGCCCCTTAGCCGAGGCAGGAGGCCGGCAAAGCGAGCCACCGCGCGTGGAGCCCCGTCTTGATGTCACCATTTTCTAGGCGCCCCAACTAGGGGTGCGGATCGCAGGGTCAGGGGGTGGGGGGCGCACACGCATTTTCCGGGAGGAGTGAGCTGCAGAGACGAGGCTCCTTCCTCCAGGGTCGGGCTGTCTGGGAAGGGTAAAGGGCTGTCCTACTTTAGGGGGCCTGGTCCTGGGGGCGGGGGGGTGCAGCCGCGAGAGCCCCTACCCCCTCCTCCTCTGCCCCTCTCCGCAAACACCCTAAAGGAATGAGGTCACGTGGGTGGGCGGTGGGCGGGACCTACTCTTGTCTGGAGGAAAAAAGCCATTTTGTCCCCCCCGCCAGCCCCGGTCCCTCCCTCCCCTCCCTCCCTCCCCTCGCTCCCTCCCTCTCTTCCTCCACCCGAGCCGCTTCGCAAACTCTTTCTTACCGAAGATTCTCCCCTCCCTAAGAGTTAAAAATTCTACCTAATTAGAAAGAAATTACATGATTTTTATAATAGAACGCATGAAGTATGGAGATACATTATCGCAATAACTATAAAACTAAGTTGTTCTAAAGCTAAATGAATAAAAGATTTGTGAACATTATAGAAGGACTGTGGAAGAGATATCTTGAAAGCGAAGTCATCGATAGCTGAATTTAAAGTAGGCTGATACCGAATTCGTTTAGAGCTTTTCCAGGCGCAACCTTTCTGTTAAAAGCGGAATGGGTTTCTTTCTGTATTTGCCTAG